TTTAATAGAAAATTTCTAAAATGTTAAGTACTTCAATGTGTAGGAAACACGATTGAAATGTTTCCTTGGAGGACAAACGTTTCTTATTTGGAATATTTGAGAATTTGGGAAAATGATTCGTGTGTCCACCCTGGGATAATATCGACACAATGAATTATTATTGTACGCGATCATGCCTGTTATTTGCGTAGAGAAACGATAGAATTATTGAAACACGACATAATTTTTGCTTCTCCAAATATAATGGTTGTTTCATGGCAAATGTATGAATTAATAAGTATCGAGATAGTAAGCTTCTCATTTGTAATTTTTTCAATTTTCGAGATTAAAATATTTCAGTTTTTTTCCCCTTATATTAAACTTCAGGTTAAATATTCCTAAACTTCATAAAATAAATTCACTACTTGCATTTTTACAGAATGTTATTGATTAGAAGTTGATAATTTTGCTATTATCAAGTCAATCAGATCCAAAGCTATCACTAAAAAATTATTGAAAAAATTTAATTTTTTCTTTGTTCAAAACATTGAATATTCTAATTTATATTGTGTTTCTGTAATATACTAAATAACTACAACCATCTCAACAATATCGTCTTCATAAATCGCTACTGTTCTCCGTCATTGTGTCGGTATTAACCCATCTTATCGTATATATAATTGTATATTCGATCCCGATATCCGATATCTGCTTGTGTTTGTTCGTATGAATCAATGTGACGAATATCGGGCCCGTGTTCTCGCATGCATTTAACAATGAATATAGAAGCCATCCGATTTTTCCTTGTCGACTACTCAGCCTTATTGCGCAGTTCAACAAAAAAAACCTCAAGGAAGGAAATCATTCCTTATATATATTTTTTTTTCATGTCAAAGTTTTAAGAAATTTGAGATTAACGTCACAAAAGAGAATTTTTAAATGCAATTCTCCGTGCTGCAACTATGGCGTGTGACATGCTAGAAAATTTTTATTCCGTTCAAAATTAAGGCAGGCAAACTGTTCCATATTCATATTTCAGTATTCTACTGGCAAACTGCTGGCATATTGTTAACATTTTGTACTCGCCGAGTAATCTGTAAAAAAAATTCTTCAATTTGAACAAATAAAAATATAATATTTTATCGATTGTTCTTTAGAAGCAAGAAGAGTTTAATTGATGATTTTTCTGCAATAATAAATAAATTCGAATATTTAATAAAGAAAGTTGTAAGCTCCAACCCTACAATAAGTTTTTCTTAAAGATTGGAAATTCTAACAACATACTCTGAAAGGATTTTAAACATTTCCAACATGTTACATGCTACAGCTGTATGACAAAGTTTATTTTTTTTACAATTTTTGTTATACTTTACATCTCAAATGTCTCAAAATTGTGATATGACAAAATGCTGCAAAGATAAGAAATGTAATTCAGAAGAAAAATCATGGGAATGATTATTCCTGTTTTTGACACAAAATTAATTTTTGTTGAACTGTGTGTTATTGCATCTTGGGCATGCATGAATGAAACGTAGATGCCTAATAAAATAATTGACTCATATCGAACGAAAAATATCAATGATGGGTTTAGTCTAATGCTTTAGCGGATTAACTTAAGCTTAAGATTAAGATATACTTGGTACCCAACACCAAGATTGGTCACGAAAATAACAATTTGTACTTAAAAAAAAAAGAATAATTTATTTCTATTGAATTGTTAATAAATTAATGTTGCTAGCGATAATAAGCTAAACAGCCTCGCCGCCATTGAGATGCTTATATTAATATCAACTGACATAGCAAAATTTAATTACACCACACGTTTTACTCGTCGAAACGCTTATAACTGATACATCGACGCACTTATTTATATGCAATGGTTTTTTTTTAACCGATGACTCACTTAGCTTGGTTCTCTGGCTTTTAACTAATTGCAACTGGTATCTCACGTTCCCTTCAGGTATGCCTGGTGGAAAAAAAAAAGGAAAAAGAGAGAATTTGGATGGATGATTAGCAGCAAATTGTAATAGTGAGATAGGATTTTTAGGACACGGGCATTTTGGTGTCTTGAGATGGTTCGAGAATGGATTGATACAATGCGTGGGCCGCGACAATTGTCGCCGCGACGACGACGTGACGGCGGTGGCGGTTTTTATGGCGAAGGATACTTCTCGGATCGAGATGGAACACGAGACCAACAAGTTTGACAATTCAATGACGCACAATGACTCTCGCAAAACGCACTTCGTAAATGCAAATGTGATTGTAGAGTCGATATACTATATACTGAAATAGAAACATACACGATCACGAGTACGCTAGGGATGTGGCATAATCTACATGCGTTAGTATTAGAATTTTTGAGCAAGGGGTGGGGGGGGTTCCACCGTCAATAGCTATATTAGGGGACACGCAGAAGTAGAAGGTTACGATTAAAGGCGCGATAGATTTACGCCCACAAGTTAGATTATGCGGGAGAAACTGATTTCATATGAAGATGTACAAAAATATTGAAAAACTGCGCAAATTTTTTTTTTTTTTTACAAATTTCTCGATTAAAGATGCACTTTTTTTTAGCAAACGATTTGTCCTTTTCATATTTTACGTAATCTTTAATATTAATTAGATATTACATTGACAAGATATACTTTTCAGTGTAATCCACTTAAAATCAAACGAAAAATAAGATCCAGTTGTGATTTATTGAGCTTCATTTACGAAGGAATCAATTATTTTTCAATGATTTATAAGCCGAATTTTTTTGAACACTTCATATTCATGATTATTTAAATTATGTAATCAACATAGTTTGCGCACGTAGTCCGATTTATTTAAGGCAATTTATCAGCTTTACAAGTACTCTACTCAGTTGTTTTGATTAGCTCTTTATATATTGGGAGAAGAACTGTAACGAGTTTTCTGATCTGAGAAGCGCTGATTAGCAATTTACGCGGTTTGATATTAAAATGTAGAGGCGCATAGTAATAACGTGGAAACGTAGCCTTAGACCAAAGGATCGTTAGGGGACCCCTAGATCAGCGGACAGAGCCAGCGACTGATTAATGGACAAAACAGATGCTGTGAATCATTTAACGCTTGACTTTTTCAAGCCTCTAGTAGTAAATCTTCATCGTGATTACCATATTAATCCATGCTCGAACTATTTTATCATTTACATTTTAGGAGGTAAAAAAAAAAATAATTGCGGGGACTCAGAAATCTCCTTTTAGGACATGAAAACAATTGTTTTTTTATCGTACAACGTGAGCTCTCTTTTTACGTACAATATGTGCGCTAGATGTGCGTTGCGAAGACGAAACTATTATTGCAAACGACAATTTACAGTATTTTAAGAATGAGAATTTAGAACATCCTATAAGCATACAGCGTCTGAGACTCTGTAACGGATTATCTCTTATTTACGGATTCTTTGATCAATTTGAACTAGTTTTTTTTTCATACAAGAAAAACATGCAAATATCTCCAGCTCTGACTTTCGACGGTCGTTGAACGCGTTGTGGAGCAGTTCAGAATCAGAGATACGTATATTTTTATTAAAGTTCAATTACCTGTAAATTTGCTGGTAAATTTAATTCTGAACATCAAAACTGTATAAGGTATGTAAAAAGATATCGAGACGAATGATATTTACGTCTTGTTATACGTATTATCATCGTAAATAATTTATACAGGACATTAGAAAAAGGAGTCCCAAACTTGAAGGATATGACATTCACTAGAGAAATAAAAAATGGTCATCATAGTTAGTTTTAGTAATATAGATGACATGTTTGCAATTTTACGTAACCATGTCTCTATTTACATAAATTGATTTCCTTTATAATTACGTAAAATATTAACTCAGAAAATCAACAGTAATTTGCCAGCGACTAGATAGAATATTGGCATAAATTGTGTCTACATTAAGCTTATGTTCTGTCAACAGAGTACACGATTAGGCTCTGCTGACATGATTCAATAGCGGATCGCCAGCAGAAATTGTCAATACAAATGACAAATTCCTAAAAATATTATGAGAATTTTTGTTCACCAAGATACTCCCAAAGTTTTTGGACCCCTTTTCAGCCTGTATAAATGGACATTAATATTTTTGGCAGTATTATTACTTTTTCTTATAAAAAAAAAAAAATCTCCCATATATTTTCTATAGGATAAAAGAAACGGGCTAAATGGGAAAATTTCCTCAACCAGATGTTTAAAAGTATAATACAGCTATATGAGTGTAGAATGGGTTAAAACGCCGCCCCATTTAGCGTTTAAATGTGTGTGTACGCGTGTGAGTGGACATGTGAATATCATATATGAATTATATATAAATATAAGTGAACACACGTAGCGCGACTTGCGTCTCGTGCGTCGTTTAGCTGATATTGTTCAGAGAGTACTTCTGAGTCCTAGCGATACCGTACTATCGTATAATGTACAGTCTGTTTATAAACGGCACGATGCTAAAGCGCGTGGTGGTGGTGATGGGGGAGGGAGGGGGAGCGTTTAAAATATTTAAAAATCAATTAACGACGTAGTAACGCGATATATCAATCTCTCGATTTGAAGATTATATCATTCGTTTTTCTATAACACACGAGCTGGAATTAGGGAATTCCAAGAATTCCAGTGCAGCACCCGAGTGAACATATATACGTTAAAATTAGCGAGTAGTTTTTTAACTTTTAGGTCTTTTACTCTTTCCAAGTAAATAACGGTGTAATGTAATTACGATGTAATGTTAATCTCGCCACGTTTTTCACTTCGCGTGATAAGCCGCTGGATACCGTAGGAAGCGATCAGATTAGCCTCGTTTTACATTTTCATCATACATTACCGGGATCGTGTCGCGATCCTCTTTGGAGAACGTGGATGAATTTTCACGAAAAGAGTACACATCCTTTTTTTTTTAAGAAAAATTATTTTATTTCTATTTTCATATTCGAATATTAATGGATTGCGGAAGTTATACGGTCCGTTATACAAAAATGGGATTTGCTACGCAAATCTGTTAGATAAACGTCGTTAAAACTTTGTATCACTTTTTATTTATTTCTAACGTTTTCGACCGAAGCGGAATTGTTTTAGGAATGAGGTAAGGGCAACTTGAAATTCATGCGTGATATGAAGTGAGAATTATGTTTTCTGTTATTTATATTTTTAATCTAGAGTTTTACGAGCGTGTGTGATATAAAGTTAACGCTATTTTCCTGTTTTCGAATCTATTCTAGAGTTTTACGAACGTGTTGCAGAAATTAGATAGGATTTATTCGTTGATAGATGCTTGCCGTATCGAGAGGATAGGAGAGCCAAAGGTCAAACTTTGAAGAGCCGCGCGTATATATACTTTTCGACATTCCAGCGATGCATTTGCGAACAAAAAAAAAGAATGAAGGCACGCGATATCTAGATTTCTTTCTTACAGCGTAACGTGTGTCTACACTGTTCTATTTTTATTGCGGAACAAGCATCTCGCCTATACAGTCTCCGTTGCGAAGGACGACGAAAAATAATCGGTGGAGAGATGGATATCGCGAGGATTATAAACAGACTACCCCCTTGGATTTTTATCTATATTTTCATCTACGGCACCCGTTTTCTCTTGATAAGCATTCAAGTTTGAATGTCTACTGCACAAACTAATTATCTTAATCAATGTTATTACGTGCTTATAAATTAAATAATGATTATTATATTCATCGCGTTTTATATAAAAATGTATTCTAATATTATAATTAAACTAAATAATAAATTTATCAATAGTTAATATCGCAATCGCGACATCTCTCGCAAGTCTGTACATTCTCGAGGCGCCAACCTCCTGTCCTGAACTCAGTCCAGCCCATACTTCTCCAGCAGCTCCTTCTTCTTCCTGACCAGCAGGGCCTCCTGAATGTCCTGCTGCGACGGGATCAGTTTCTGCGCCGTCGTCTCGATCTCGACCTCCGGCTCCTTCTCCTTCCGCGTCGTCCACTCCCGGATGCAACGCTCCCTCGCCTCCTGCTCGGCCCGCTGCTCCAGCGGTATCAGGATGCCGTCGTCGTCGTCCATGTAGCCGTAGTAGTCCGCGTCGATGTCCTTCATCAGCTCCGCGCGGGTCTTACGGGGCGGCGGCGGCGGCTCCTGCTCGAACAACTCACGAACGCCCGGCAACTCTTTGGCAGCGCCGAAATACTTGTAACCGCGGTTACCGGGGACCTTTACGACGCATAAACACTTGATCTTTTTGTAGAATATTAAATTTACAAGGTAAATGTACCAGTGACTGAACGTGTGTATCTATACCTGAACACGTACACAAAATTTATTAATCTCAAATGCTTTTTTTATTGCAATATCAAAATTTAATTGTAAAAAATAGTTTTTGTGTATCGATATAGTTGATGTTCTCCGACATAGATACATGCTCAGTTACTGGTGTGTTTACCAGTTTACCTCATAGAAATATCGTCTCTGACTTTACCTCGCGTCCCTCGTGATCCAGCATGCGAGGCCCGACCCTGGAGTAGTCGGGCCCGCCCAGCTCCTTTATCTGCGCCTCCCAGTGCCGCTTCTCTCGGAGCAGCTTGTTAATCTCGTCGTTCAGATCGCGTATGCGAAACTCGCCGAGCCCGGCGTTCTGGATCTGGGCAACCTTCTTCGCGATCTCCCGAATTATCTGCATCCGCCATTTCTCCGCCTTGCGCAAGTCCCGGCACTCCGAGGCCAGATACGGCCGCCGCTCCTGCTCCTTCCTCGTCCCTTCGTTGTTCTGCGCTGCTCTCCAACGGGCAAGCGTCGTCCTGAGGATTTCATCAACATTATTACGTATATTAATTTGCAATACTCGCAAAATATTGATTTAACAATTAGTTGGACTTAAAACTTCTCATGGTAAATATATTCACAACCAAAAATGATGTTTAAAAAGCATACTTACATAGCCTTCTCTGCATTTCGTGCCTAAAAAGAAATAAAATATATTCATTAATAAGGTAAAAGATTTATATCTAAAATGTCTAATAAAACATATTATGTGTATTATGGACACTTACCATCTTTGATTTATGCCTTTGTACAAATTATTGTAAACGTTTGAATATTGATTAATTGTCCACAGGTACACAGTTGACAAGACTGATTGTTCCCAGTTTAATTAATCGATATATACAGCAATGGTGCTGCAAGCAAAAACAAAATGTAGTTGTAATAATGATATAATAATTATATTCTAATGTTGACAAATGTGATGCTAATTATTTATGCCAGAATAATGGGGGTTTTGCATTCCAAATCAAACGTTTCTAAAATAAATTATCATCGTAGCCGCAATTGAAAGAAATGTTTTCACATAACTGTTGTGCTTTGTGTGATATTTATATGCATATCTGTGTGTATAAAGTGATAATAATAATTATTAAAACCAGCCGTGCTGTTGCAAATTTCGGATAATAAATAATAAATTTACCAGATATAAGTGATTGAAATTATATTGTTACTTCAGACGACAAATAATAAATTATTGTTATTCCGAAAGACTTTTTGTGAGGTTAGGTTGAGGTACATACACGGAATAACAGCGAGTTCTGTCATTAACAGCGTTCTACAAGCGAAGCAAATTGAAATCTCACGTTTTTACTGAAAATTATTTCGTCCTATTCTCCTCTTTGTAAATTTTTGATCCTCAAGATTGTAAAGTTACTTTATTACGGTAGAATCACTTTGAAAACCGGCGAGAATGACAGGTTAACTTCACAATGGAGACCTCACGTGGTGAACGTCCGAAGCTGTCTGCTGTACCGGCGCACATTTTCGCGCGAACGCAACATCACGTAACAGCTGATGAAATAAACAATCATGTTATGAAAAAAAAAAATCCTCCATTTACAGATGTTTAGACGCCACAAGTGCAGCTGTAATTGCTGTGTCTTACCTCTTCCTTCCTTAAAATCGCATTTTATCTGAATAAACATTTTCCCTTGTTTTCTACAGCATTTTGTTTATTATCATATTTTGACTTGCTGTTTAATGTCATTAATGTTATTATTGCCATTTATTTAATTAATGCCTCTGTTCCCTTGATATCTAATTCTTATGATAAAAATCGGAGTAACATTCGTGGTGAAAAAAATCGTATCTCAGTATTTTAAAAACTTTTTGAATTATTTTTAAAAATACGTAAGGGTGCGAGCAGTGTTACAACATTCTGGTCTCTGTTAAAATCACTTACTGTCTCTTAAATACGGAAACAGCAATCTACTAATGATAAACGACAGAAATAACTTAACAAATTTTTTGATAAAATTTTTAATTTGTCATAAAATATCTTTTAAACAACAACAATTTGTAACAACAGGTTTAACATTAAGAAACTATGAATCATTAAAACTACAAAAAAAAATTGCATTTAATTATTAAATTAAAATAATTCAAGATCACAAGTCTCGCCTGGAACGAAATTCCAGTCGCATTTGCACGGTATTTAATCTCTCGCTGAGTAACTTCAATTAATGTAACTACTTCGTATGATCGTACACAATGATTCGTAATTGAATTACATTGTGCACGTAATGAATTAAATAATCGCGCAATTAAAACTAGAACGAGTTTGCTACGATATGTATATTGTCACGTACGAAAGAGTACATTTCTTGTCGGCAAGAAATTTCAAATAAATTAAAAGCGCGTACTAAAAAACATGTTAGCCTTATTTAAAATAATTCAAAACTAAATTGCGGTAGGTTCCATCGATCGAGAAATTCATCAGCTTTATTCATGAATTTCAACACCTGCGATCGAACGTATGCAATATGCAAATATGTAATTTACATATAATAATTATTATAATTATTAATGTAATTATAATAATTATTATAAGTATTACAATGCACTTGAAGAAAAAGCTCGCAATTTAGTAATGCAAGAAGTGAACTAAAATATTGTAATACACGTTGTGGAAAAGAATCCATCAGTCAATATATTTAATATATTGTCTGACTAATTTTATGTATAATTTAATATATGTCTTCTTTTTTTTAAAGAAAATAAAAAGAATCAATTAAATGTTAAATAAATTAATTGGTAAAACAACTCGTTGCGTAATTAATATGTATGCGTTGTATCAGTAATGATGTAATGCACACCCTCCCTGGATTAGTTTCCTTTAGCGATGGATTCATAAATCAAGCTCACGAATTCGTGATGGAAAACGACAAATGGCACGGGAAAAACGAACGAATAAACTTTACGAACGAGTCAACAACACTTACGTACAATTATTCCTAATCGATCTGAGCGATTGGTTTTGGTACAAAAAAACATGTGCTCCAACTTCGCGCAACGACTCGCGTTGAACTCTCTGGTGACACATACGCGCAAACGTACACAGGAGCCTTCGTGTACTTGGCGCGACGGAAGTTTCAACGACGGAATACGCCGTCCGTGTCAGCCTCGCAAGTCTCCACGAGCAATCTATCTCGGATATACCGTAGGCTTACAGCAAGCTTCAGGGACGAGCTTGCGGGACGCGTCACGATTCTCTCTGCGACTAGAATCGAATTGCAACAATTGACCTCAGTCGGTGTCGTTCACGCCGGGGGGGTACGCGACGACGGGAAGCGACGACGGTGGTGGCAGTGGCGGCAGTGGTGGCGGCGGCGGCGGGGCCGCGAACTCGTCCTCCTCGACCTCCTCCTCGCCGAGGAGGAAGTTCTCGTGCACTTCCTCCTCGCGCGCCGGCTCCGGCAGCGCGAGCACGTCCTGGTTTCCGTGCTGCTTCAGGTGGTCCTTGAGGGCGAACGCCCGACCGTACGACGCGCCGCACACGTAGCAGCTGAACTTGAGATTGTTGTCCTTCTTGTGCGTCTGGATGTGCGCGCGGACGGCGTAGAGCGACGCGAACGGTCGCGAGCACTCGGTGCACCGGAACGGCTTCGTGTGGCTGTTCTTGTGGCCGGCCAGCTGCACCCGCGTCTTGAACGTCTTCGGGCAGTACGGGCACGTGTAGGCGCGCTCGTCGCCGTGCGTCAGCAGGTGATGGTTGTAGACGGAGGACGCCTTGAAGCGCTTGCCGCAGTGCTGACAGGCGTACGGCCGCACGCCTGTGTGCGTGCGCATGTGGAGGGTCAGGCAGTAGGACACGCGAAAGGTCTTGCCGCATACCTGCAAACCGACAGAGATGAAAATTGCAATTGTAATAAAACAAATGAGGTAGCCGGAAGCCACATTAGACCGGCACAACACTTCCACATTGCAAGCTTCGACCAGTCAAGAACGTGATGCAATGAGGTGAGATGTGCCTCAACACTTAATACCAGAATTCGAATCCAAAGTCGAACGACTGGTTTGCAATTTATGTTTTAAATTACTCGAATTTATTACAGTGGAGTATCCTTTTTTTGTAACTCTTATTGAAATTTATAAATAATTAAAATGATCAATTTTCCTCCTTTATCCTTTTTTTCCAAGATGTGTAGTTATATTGAAACAGAAATGAATCGTCGACAGTTCTAGCATTAAAAAACATTTTCAGCAAGTCCGCCTACCTCACAAGCATGCGGCTTCTCCCCGGTGTGAATTCGTTCGTGCTTGACTTTCTCGTGCGGTCTGGTGAACCTGCGCCCGCAATGCTGGCACTGATACGGTTTCTGGCTGTCGCCGGGTTCCGCCGTTGACACCGTCGTCGTCGCCGTCGTCGTCACCGTTGTTGTGGACGTCATGGCGATCGTCGCAGGCGTCACCGTCGCTGGCGTCGTCGCCGATGTCGTCGTTGCCTCCACGACGGTTGAGGACGAAACCTGCGGTGTGGGCGACTGCGAGGGCGCCAGCTCGACGTGCACCGCCGCGTGCATCGCCAGACTGTCCGCGGAATCGAACTTCCGGTTGCAAACGGTGCACGTCACCGAATCGCCCGTGTGCAGCGTCATGTGCGCGTCTTTGTACGACTCGGACAGCGTTTTGCCTGTGGAGCATTAATTAATTAATGTAGAATAAATATTTAGAGATTGAAAAGTAAAAGGATACACGCAGCTTGATATTGTCTGTCATACAAAAGTATGCTATTAATTATTATGTTATTGGAAGTAAAATTTTTCATATGATTTGAGAGATTATTAAATACACGCGTACATCCATTCGCAAAAAAATTATTACCATTAAAATTAATGGACAATAGTAATTGGTGTCTTATTGTCGCCGTCAAATCTTCTAATTTTAATTTTTTCTTACTGTTTAAAAAAGCAGAGACACTTGAGTGTTCGAATTTCAAGTGTTTCTCATAACTTGTATATTTTGTTAAATATTTGATTACTGAGTGAGTAATAAATTTAATGATTCTTGACTATTTTTTGTAGCGTGAATATCTAATTGAAAGAGCGAAACGAGAAGTAGGATTTATTACCGCATTCGGGACAGGTAAAAGTTGCGTTAGGCGTGCCCTCGGGTGCCTCGACGTGTCTGGCCCTCACCGGCGCGTGCATCCGCGAGTGCAGCCGTAGGCTCTTGTGGGAGCAGAACTCGGTGCCGCACGTGGTGCAGATAAACGTCTTCTGGCTCGGATCGGCCTCGCTGTCGTGCACCTTCGCGTGAAGTTGCAACGCCCTGGGGGTCGCGAAGCTCTGGTCGCACTGCTCGCAACGGTTACTGCCACGGAGGCAGGCGTGCACGCGGAAGTTTCCCAACTTGGAGAACTGCTGCAGGCACTGATTGCACTTGTACTTTGGCGCGGTCGACGCGGTCGCCAGGCGTTTCTCTCGTACCTGCGATCATCATACGGTCGCGTTAGAGGGGGAGAACAGTTAGTTCTCACGTGTGTGTATGTGTGACAAATATCGGTATCGAGATTTTTTTTCCCCCTTCCCTCTTCGCACCGAGAGGGAAGCCGCGCCTTATAAATCACACCTTGACACCCTCCACGTTCGAAAAGAACTTCTCGATCATCGGCGCCTTCGGCGACTGCGTCGTTGTGACCTGAATCGGCGTGCGGTCCCAGAATCTCTCGATTTGCACCACCTTCCGGGTGTAGAGCCTACCCTCGTTGTCCACGCACTCCTCCGTGCGCAGCGTGTTCATCGTCTGCCGCTGCCTCGCGTTGTTGTTGCCCGCCAGACTTTCCGAGCCGTCGGACATCGCGGACACCGGGCTCGTCGTCGCCAGGTCGTTCATTTGCTCCGCCATCTCCAGCAGCACCTCCTGCCCGTCGTGGAACTGCTTGATGTGCTCCAGAACGGAGTTGAAGCTCATCTCGCAGCTAGTGCAACTGTACACGGCGTCGGACTCGAACTACGACAGAAGCGAGAAGGGGGAAAAAAATTATAAAAATCAATTTATCGATAATCTAAATACCGCTCGTAATTGTAAAGAAAAAATATTAATATTAAATTAAGAGGCCGTAAACGAGCAAAATTGATAGAAGGTATACTAATAAATATATTTCAAAATATACAAGTCATGAAAAACACTTGAAATTCAACAACTCAAATGTTTTTGCTTTTTTAAACAGTAGAAAAAATTAAAATTTAAGGGCGACAATAAGACACTAATTACTATTATTATTAATTATAATAGTAATAATTTTTTTGCGAATATATTTAAATATCAAGATGTACAAATATATTATATAATATGATTACAGTACCAAAAAACGTAAAGTAATAAATAAATTTCGCGTTTTTATATAATCATGTATTAATTATTTAACGTTGGCGGCTGATGAAGACTGTAGTTAAATCAAACTGATACTGCAATTATATATATATCTGTACATCTTGATATTTAAATTAAATATATTTAATAATATACCCGTAAATTTTGTTCGTTGACGGAAATTATTAATTTAATATTAATATTTCAATTTACCAATTTGTAAAGGTGAGATTTCGTGATAACAACATTCACCGAATATATACGAATACACAAAAAGATACAATCCTCCCAAAGACAATTCCGGTTCGTTTTTTTTTTTTTTTTTTTCGTTATACCTCGCACAGCTCTCGCTTGACCCGCAGCAGATCAACCTCGTCGAGCTCCTCCGCCTCATTTATACGATCCACGTCGATCAGGGTGGCGGTGGTCTCGCCGTCCAGGAGCTCGGAGCTGTCCGGCAGCACGGCGATTATGTTCTTCTCCATCAACGCCGCCTTGCGGTCCGCGTTCGATATCGGGATAGCCATCAAGCCCTGCGACGGCTGCAGCTGCAGCCTTCTTTGCGCACCGCCGCCGACGTCGCCGACGAGCCCTTCGGGCATCTTGAAATCCAGAGAATTTTGATCTGGTTGCGTTTCTTCCGTGTCCATCTTTTCTACGACTTTAATCTCTCCTGATGTGTTTTGTTAGAAACGACAGATCAAACTCCACAGAACTCCTACGCACAACAGAAAAGGGGGGGAGGGGAAAAAAACACGGCAATTCTACAAACCATTCTCATCCAATTGTATCGTCTGCGAATCGCCCATTATGACCACTCCGTTGTTGCCCATAGTCGCGAGGAAGCCGCGATTGAGCTGCTGCGTCTTAACGTCCTGAAATCAACACAGTTGCGACTACAAAGTGACCTTGGTGAAAAGAGCAACGATTAATCCTTAGTACACACGCGATTGCGTTATTTGTGCCGGCTGCAATTAGTTAGAATATTTATATACAATTTTTTCTTTAATAATTTTAGAATCTTTTACAAATGCAATTTTACAAATACAATTTTTTAAAGATGTTGAAGTATATGTAAGGATCACCTAATAATTTTTGTGTACTCTTGCAAAGTGTTAAAAATTAACTTACACAAGAACAACCAGTGGCCTGGAAACAAATCATCATGTGTGTACCAAGGATATGCAGTTTAAATAACTATTTAAAATAATTTTTAGATTTAAAGCTTCAATCATTTTAAATGTTATTTTAATGAATTAAAATCCACGTGTATAAAATAATATATTATCATCTAATGATTAGTTAGATAATTGGAAACTCTTGCTGTAGGTAAACAAAAGAATCCTTTGGCAGCGAAATGTGCTTTTGCTCCTGATTCTGAAATTTTGTCAAGCATTAAATTTAAATTATTTCTTGTTTAATTAAATTAAATTGCATTAAATAAATACAATTTGTATATATTTTAAGCATCTATATATCCTATTCATTTAAATACTTATATTTTTACTTGGTGGGTTTTTATGATTTCAAGACTTTCCAAGAATTCCACAGAAAGAGCTTTGCAATTATACTTTTTTTTTTTTTAGATTTGTATGAGCTCTATTTTAAGCAATGTTTAAAAAAACATATAAGTGTTTAGAAAATGGAAATTGAACGCTCTATCGCAACGAAACTACGTTTCCCCCCTTCCCGTACCAGCAGCAGATCCATCTTGATCTCGGGCTCCTTTCCGCCCTTCCTGAACTTGTCCGCCAGGATGTCGGACTTCACCCGGTACCTCAAGTCGTGCTCGCACATGTCCAGGTGCTGAATGAGCGCCATGACGGAGTCGGAACGCTGCGAACAGCTCGGACAGTAGAGATTGTCTGTCAGGCTTAGCAGGTGGTACTTGAGGGACTGGGTGTTGTTGAAGGTCTCGCCGCAGCACATGGGGCAGATGAGGTTTAGCGTGCCCATAATTGAGCAGCGCGTTCAGGCTCGGCTCTTCGTCCAGGTCGTCGATTCGGGATCGGTGCCGCGCGCCGCGCCGCGCCGGTTTACCGTCTATCAAAATCCGGGTCGGGCTTAACCTAGCACGCGAGACGTCGGGCGGATGTGCTTTGCGGATGGGCGTCCTGCGGAAATTTCATTTCGTCTGCCATCCAGCGAAATTGTGCACACGTCGAACCGTCCGTCCGTTCACCACCCCGCCCCCTCAGCAACGGTCCACAAGCCCGGTCATCGCGATAACAAATCCATTAGAGACGAACTTCAGCGCAAACAAATGCCGAACACAACAATCGTGAAGTTGGGAGGTTAATAAGTGAATCTCGAAGTCGGTCATCACAACCCCCTCCTCTCCCCCCCCTCCCCTGCCACGTGACGATCACGTTTATTGTCGATAAAGTCACTCGAACAAAATTTTTGAAAATTTATAAATTTTTTGACTTCAGATTTAAAATCTGCTATCACGAAAACCTTCGGAGGTTTATTAATAAATCTTGTGTGAGCCAAATTTTTTGCCGCCTTACATATTACATAAATCAAAAATTTGCCGGACTTCGAGCCGCCGTTCTGAATAAATCATTGTGAAATTTGAAATTTTTACTTTAACCTTGGATTCAGCGATTGAAAGTACTACTAAAATTAACTTACAAAGGAAATTGGAATACAAAGAATATCTTTTCAATTTTCAAAACTTACAATCTATTATATATACACGTATGTAAGTCACGCCACGCTTCAAAGAGTTCAAAGGGTTGAATTAAGTTCTTGTAATGTTTAATGTTTTAATGCCTCCGCCGAAAATTTAAAAAACCGGAGTTACAAAAATTTTAATAAGATATATAATCTAAATAAGACAAAGGCAATAAGAGCCACCAAGTAATTTATAGAAAACTAAAATAGAAACAATTTTAAATTTAGCCGCCTTATGTAACAACTAGGCAAATTTATTAACAATAAACATATACACGCGCTTTAATTTAAAACCTCCATAAAAATGAAGAAAATTAGAATATATGGAACTTCAATATATCGGATGTTGCAATTGTTAAACTTTCATTTCAAATCAAACACTCGAGAGTCAATTCGCTCTCACCTATGAGCATTAATTTTGCGATTTCGAGTAATTATATTGCAACTTGCAATTAAAGCAACTTTTTGATAGTAACTAAAGCAAGCGGTAAATGTAGCAGTATTTTGAAGAAATTTAATTATTTTAAATAAATTATTTAACTTAAAGTAATTTAATTATTCTGGATTTCTCCTACTCGTTATATTTACACGTATTTATTTTTCCCCTTCTATTTACATGTTTACAAAAACCTCGATGAATAAATAGTTAATCGTCTATTTTTTTTCTCCTAATCGACGTGCTCGTGCTCGGCGTTACTCTCGAGCCAGGTGTTCTGAATGAGCTCGACGAACTGCTGCCACCACCTGCTGCGCGACGTGAAGTACAGCACGCAGGCGACTATGAAGACCCACGACAGCACCAGGCAGTAGTCCATCTCGTTGGACGGCGTGCTCGAGACCGGCCCGGTGAAGTCCGCCGACGTGACGTACAGCGAGCCGTTCGGCTGCAGATTCGTCCGATGGGACACGAACTTGGCGAACGACTCGAGGGTGTAAATCGTGTCGTTGAACTTGGCGACGGGCTTGCCGTTGTGGACCAGCATCAGCGTCGGCACCCCGACTATCCCGTACTGGGCATTGAAGCTGAAAAGCGGTGTGATTTTCTTGGAATCGCGCGAATCCATCAATTTTGCGAATTATGTCGCATCACGCCTTACCTTTGGTGCTTTATCGCGTCGATCGCCACGGCCTTGATATGGGGAAACGAACGAGGTATGGCGTTGAAGTGCGGCGCGGCTTGACTGCTGAACACGCACCACCTGGCGTAAAACAACACCAGGACGCACGTACCCGGTAGCCGTCTACTGTTCTTCGCGTTTCTGGTGCGGTTCGACGGGCCGGGCTCCAGGATCAGTAGCTCCATGAGCCTCGTCGCGTTGACGAGCTGTAACGAGGAAAAAAAAACGGAATTTAGTTATTACATGAGAAAGCTGTTATTTCATCTATTCAACGCAACGCGCTATTTTGTGTAAAATTAATTCATTAATAAATTTAGTTGTTAAATTTAAATCAATTAACAATTTCGTAGAACCTCAACGGGGCCGTGGATCTTCTCCGACGAGCAATTGACCTTGGTAGTATTGGCCGAGACATCGGTGGCATTCACCGCGCCGTCAGCGTTCACCTCCGCGGACTCGCTCTTTTCGTCCGCGTGAGCCTCGTTGCTCTCTTCTCGATCGTCGGCGTCCTTAGGTTCTGCTTCCGCCGCGTGTTCCTCCGAAACCTCGTCGCTACTTCCGGCACTATCGCCCCTCTCCGACGAGCGATTAACTTCAGCAGCCGAGATATCGGTGGCGTTTACCGCGACGTCAGCGTTTACTTCCGCGGACTCGTTCCTCTCGTCCGCGTGAAGCTGCTTATTTTCTTCTTGATTGTCAGCATCCTCAGGCACCGTTTGCGCCGCAAGTTTTTCCGCAACCTCGTCGCTGCTTACGACACTAACTAAAATGTTGTAGATAATATACTTGATGTCGATCCTCAAAAAAGTGATTTAAAATTGAGAAGAAACATTCATGCAAATTTTACGGTTTTCATCTTCATCGAAGATTAATTTATTTAAGTATATAAGCAACTGTTTATATAGTTATTAATAGCTCATTGTATTCCTTTTAGGCAAAGAACATATGATAGAAATAAAAGATAAAAATAAATTACTTCTTACCAAAGATTAAAATAGACACGAAACCTATGAAACTTATTTTCAATAAATTCATCTTTGATTCTTGGCATCAAGCGACTTGTGTTACAATCAAATTGATAAGCCAGTCCCGCGAAATTCGTAGCCGTAACGGAATGTATAACAATTTGATTGTAGATTTGTCGGACGTCAGAAAATGCTCATTAATTTCACCTGAAAAAGTGTAAAAGATTTCTTTCGTTATTTTTACATCCTCCTGCTATCGTAGATCATGGAAAAAGACACAACCTTTCGATAATTTTATAGTTTTACTCACAATCTGTCGAGGTTTGGTTTGCTTTCCTACAGCGAACCAATAAATTTCATTTCAATCTTCTCGTTCAGCCTAAACGGGTTTACAGAATTATTGAAAAAGGTCTTCGTCAGCACTTTCAATTCAGATGACTGTCATAATGTTAAATTAGCCAGCAACATCTGAAGTGATCTGAAGCCTAATTTTTGTTATTGTTTTTAGCTCCCTTTGAATACCAATTGTTCACATACGCAAGAAAAATAATGGAATATAACTGAGCGGCAATCTACGTGACAAAGCGCGTATCTCTGAAATCCAATTAAAAATTAATTATACATTAATCAAGCAGACTGAAGTCCAATACAAAATATAACCTACAAACCTGCGTCTACGTTCTTTAAGTTAAAAGTTTAAAATTTATTGAAATCCTACAACTGGTCCCCCCTAATCTATCGAAGCGCAGTCGTTTATCACTTCTATTCGGAGTCCTGCATTCTTGACTAGAGCGTATAATTATTGAGGAAAAAAAAACAGTAAACACGAAAGCACAGCCAGCACAAACTTCCAATGTTGTTATGTTGTGCCGCACCTCCTGCGCTGTACTTTTGCACTTTTTGCAGCACGGTTGGAGCAGCTTGGACGAACTGCACTTTGCAGTCAGCTGACGCAGTCGACCTCGCTGCGCGTGGCGCGTGCGCGGGAAAGTCCGTCGTCGTGAAGACGTGAACTGCCAGGGGACCGAAGGAGCGAGTGGGAGCGAGTAAAAGCTGCAATAGCCAATAGGTTATCGGTGAGTGTGTCGCAAACTGTTGCAACTCGTATGTAAAATAAGATTTAGACAGTAGGAGAGTGACAGAAGAGCCACGGACGAGTCCGCGAATTTACGCAGCGACACGTGAATTGTATCGGGTGCGCGTGAAGTTTGACGCGATTGCACGCCGTTTTTCGCCAAGGTGAGACACACGAGGTGGCGAACGAAAAAAGAAAAGGTCTCGCGGTCAATGTCGAGAGGATTCTTCTTTCGATAAGAATAATAACGAACGCGACGATTTCCAATGTCGATGGACACTCTCACCATGAATCTCTATAAGACGGCGCGCGACTTACCTCGAATGACATTTCAGGCCACTTTCGTACGGCCAGTGCAGCGGTTGACATTCTATCGACGACGGAATGTCAGATTGTACGCTTTCGCACGTTACTCCGGTATTTGTAGACGTTTCGGCCCGTTAAACTCTTGAAATCTGTCAAAAGATGAAATAAATGTAACTATATTTTTTTGGAAATATACATTTATATATAATATATAATTATCTATTGGTTTCCAAATTACATTTATATATAAATGTAATTTGGAAACAAATAGATGCAAAAATACACATGTATATAGAGAAAATTAAAAGCTGAGAGAGGGAGAGAGAGGGGGAGGGGAGGCAATTCTACTTTGACGTATAATTTAAATTTGCACGTTTTTTGTTTTATTACCAGCGAACAACTTAAAACCTGAAAGATGCAGCGCCTGGGAGTTCAAACTATCCGCACCGGCAGGACCCTCTTGCAGGGCAGCAGGCTGTACACCACCGCACCCGCGCAGGAGCAGGTGGTATCTCCCGCCTTCAAGGTGCAGGATCACAAAGATTTTCACGAACGCGTGATGAACTCCAAGGTGCCCGTCATCGTGGACTTCTTTGCCACGTAAGCATAGAGCAACAATTGCAACCTTTGGCCTGATTTTCCTGTTAACTATTATTGATGCCCCTTCCTCCCCCCAATCGTTATTGCTGAATAGCCTGGCTAATATTATTTCAGATGGTGCAACCCTTGTCGCATGCTGACTCCGAGGATAGAAACGGTTGTCGCCGAAAAGCAGGGGAAGATACTCTTAGCCAAAGTTGACATTGACGAGAACACGGACCTCGCCCTTGATTATCACGTAGGTATTTTTATCTTTTGATAGTAGTTTCGGTATAGCAGTCATCGAGACGCATAGGAACTTGATTTCTGAAGTCACGAAGTGATGACACATTTCTGGTAACTAATTCAAAGTTGATCTTTGCTATGTGAAAGTTTAGAATTATAAATATCGAACAATTATGTGAGCGTGTAATTTTTTCCCCAGTCAATTTTGAATTGAATTTCATTTGAGCCGCACATTTTATTGTACATTAATTTTCAGGTCGGGTCTGTGCCCGTGCTCATTGCTATGAAAGATGGGAAGGTTCTAGAAAGAATAGTCGGCCTCCAAGACACCGACAAGCTCAGGCAGTTCGTCAACAAGTATACGGAGTAGCGTAGTTAAAAATTATTCTGTAAATTACCTTTTAACGTGTCACTGTTTCTCGTTAATCCTTGTATAGAGAATTTTTACATAACGCTTCGGAATCTGCAATCTGCGTTTGTAGTAAATTCTTATATATTGAGTAAATGTATCCCGATAATTATGTACATGTAATATTGCGCAAAATAAGATTAGATTTCTCTCAATAAATGCAGATTTAATAAAAGGTTCTTATCAATGAAATAGCAACGTGGATAGCACTTTTTTTTAATGAAACATTTTTATTTCTAATGAGCTTAAATTCTAAAATAAAATTGTCCTAATTCTAAAATAAAATTTGCCTTACCTAAAACTTTAATTTGACCTACAATTTACCTGTTTAAGTCCTCGAACTTATTTCGACTTAACGAATTTTGCCCAGATATTTGCGCCACTCGATATGGAACGTCCCATACATAGTGTTAATGAAGGCTAGAAAATTTCAAGACATTTCAAACAACAAAAGACCGCCTTCTCTTGTTTAATGAAGCAAGTGTAAATAGATCATCTATTTTTTACTTATATGGTATAATTTATTATCAAAAAATATATACAAACTGTCATCTCGAATGAGATCGAAATTAGATCTTAATATATTTAATAATTAATTAATATAATAGAATTAAATGAAATTGACATAATAGATAAATATTTAATATTCAATTTTTACTATTTAATATTTATTATATTAATTGAACAACAGGTACATTCTAATCTCTTTTATTGAAATGTCTGTATTCTTTCGTAGCCAAGTCGCGCATTTTTTAACTCGTCCAGATAAGTCACTGCAGTCAATATAATGTAATCGAGTCGTTACAATAAAAGAAATGTATGAGACTTAGTCGCAAAATTTGGCGAACTTTCTCGCGTCATCATCTCTCGGATCTGACATAATTAAAGCTGCTCTTCTCAACGGTTCTTTCATCTCATTTTCATTAAAATATATAATAATACTAGAATGCGTGCTAGCGCTAATGTTATGAAATGACGAAGAGGCTCTTAAGTGGTATTTTTTCTTATCTCCTTTTAATACACGCTTTTCACTACTGTAGTGGAGAGACCGTACAATCCCCACTATTGCTTCCACACATGCGTATTGTTATATTTCAGTGTCGGTTTTCTCTTGAAATTTTTTGGAAGTTAAAACTACAATCGGTCGGCAGCGCGCACGGTCGAGTATTATTATATTTCAGTGTAAAGTTTGCAAAAGTTGCCTCGCTCTCCTATAAGCAATCGACTTCATAATCTCCTCTTTCTTATCCTCGTCCAATTCCATCTCAGCTTTCCTTATGACTTCCATTCCTTTGCTCAGCAACCCTTCACGTGCCTTGCCTTTGCAACCCTCGAAGTACTCCAGAACGACGGGGAAAAGAGAGTCAGGGATGGCATCCTCATTCAACAAATTATTCATCAGCCAGATCTGCTTGAGCTTCTCGAACTTCCATTCGTTTCTAGAATATTTCCACTGCAAAAAAAACAATTTATGTTAATTTGAGAAATTTCTAAACAGCCAGAAAATGCTCACAAACGGCTGCAAACGGAAAAGAACTTGCTTAATGCATAAGTTACTCCAAAATCAGAGTTTTTAAAAATATTAAAAATGTTTAAGATATTAATTCTAATCAATATTCGCGAGTCTAGGAGATCCAATTTTTTTTCTTGAATTACGCGCCAAATTTTCAGATAACGTGAAAGATCATTTATAACAATGTTTTTCATAATTTTATATAAATTCAAGTTATAACACAATCTTATTTCTCGGATTTTGACTTTCAAAATTAAAAAAAAAATTGTTCAATTACATTAATTTTAAGCAAACGTAAATTAATTTAAAGTTTTATCTGGACTCGCGAGTGCTCGTTAAGGAAATTTCGGAGTAAATAACGATTAAGATTAACGAACAATTCCAACAATTAACAATCTACCGTGGATAAATAGCTTAATGCCTTTTGCTTGGCATTCGATTTTTGAGATTTCCTCTTTTTAGTTTCTTCCTGAAGAACTTTCTGTTTTTTCAACTGCCTTTTGGATAACTCTTTCGTACTCTTTACATTCTCTGCAGCCTCCTTTGAAATATCAGTATCGTCGCCACTACAAAAAAAGAATTGTTTAATTAAATTTTCGACACTACCACATGTATTTATACCGATTGATTAATGGCCTAATATTTTTTTCATAAATAAGTCTTTTAATATATAAAAAGTATTTCTATTTATAAATATTTTGTGATTTAATGTAATTGCTACTATAAAGTGTCCTACATCAAAATTTAATTTTTAAAAATAATTTATCAGTAGGGTAAAATCTTAAAACTTCTTACTTGTCTTCGTTCAATGTCCGTTCAATGTTTCTTTTTTTTCGTTTCCTTTGTACAATATTCTCTTGAGATACCTCGTCAGTGTTGTGATTATCGTCGTTACTAAAAAAAAATGTTTAATTAAATCTTCAACAACTACAAGTCACTATTTATATCGATTGATTAATGATAATATTTTTTAGTATTTTTCCATTAATGAATCGTTCAATATAAAAAAAAATATTTTGATTTAATGTAATTGCTACTGTAAAATGTTTCTATATCAAAACATAATTTAAAAAATAATTTATTTCTAGGTTGAAATCTTAAAACTTCTTACCTGGCTTTATTCAATGTCCGTTTTCCTTCCTTATTCTTTTGTTTGCTTTGTACAATATTCTCTTGAGATATCTCGTTAGTTTTTTGAGTAACGTCGTTTGAATAACTAAAACAAAAAAAAATTCTTGACAACCACATGTCACTATTTATATCAATTGATTAATAATCTAATTTTTTTTCATTACTGAATCTTTTAATATAAAAGAAAAATATTTATCAGTAAGTTGAGACCTTACAACTTCTTACCTGGCTTCATTTAATGTCCCTTTTCTTTTCTCCTTCTTTCGTTTGCTTTGTACAATATTCTCTTGAGGCATCTCATTAGTTGTGTGTTTGGGACTATCGTCGTTACTAAAAAAAAAAATTAATTAAATCTTTGACAGCTACATGTGACTATTTATATCAATTGATTTAATAATCTAATTTTTTCATTTAATGAATTTTTTAATATAAAAGAAAAATATTTACCTGTAGGGTGAAATCTTAAAACTTCTTACCTGGCTTCATTCAATGTCCGCTTTCTTTCCTTCATCTTTTGTTTGCTTTGTACAATATTCTCTTGAGATATCTCGTCAAAATTAACTGAAGAAGAAAAGGAAAATCTTTTAAATATAACAATTAAAATTGGATTTATTATCTTTGTTTATTCTTACAGGTATTCAAAGGTCATTGTAGAACGTTTTTATTAACGAATACATTTCACCCTCTACCCTAGCAAAAATAAAAATCGGAGCGCAAGTCGAATGTAAGGATAGACAGAGAGTGATAGAAGCGAAACTTCTAGGAGCTTTCATCTTCTTTTACATTTTGCTGTTTAACGCTTCTTTCACATTTTGGAGTTCCAATTTTCGCCTCCTAGAAGTCTCGCTTACGCCTCTATCACTCTCCCCTTTCACATTCGACTTGCGCTCCGATTCTTATTTTCGCTAGAAGGTATGCAAGTGACAAGGGAAGGGCAGGGAATCAGGGGGTGGTTCTAAAAAATATAAAAATCTTATATACCGTCAGCTCTTTCGTTGATCTCTTCAGTTTCCTCTCGTTTCCTCAGTCTACGCTCCAGCAGTTTTTCCGCGAAATCGCTGTCCACGTTAATGCAGATACCAGAACGACGCTTTATCACCGTTGCACTTAGCATCATACCATTCAGGACACGTTGCTCCTACCAGCTTCTGCTCGACGACGAGCTCGGAATAAAAGACACAGTGAACACACCACGCGGTCGACACGACACGACTAACCTAACCCAAATCAGACAACACGCCACACGCGACTTGACGCGACTGCCGAGACCGCTACTGCCATCTGCCGTCATCTGCGCAAATCCACATTCCACTGCCCGGTCTGACAACATAAACAACTCCCCCCCCCCCCAACACTCCTCTCTGTTAAAAGCGCATACCCACCATCAGATGGAACAACACCAAAAAAAAATGTTGCAAAATAAGGATTTTGATTTACACAACGCAAGTTTTCAATTATGACAAATAAGCATATAGAAGTACTTAAAATACACAGTTAAATAACGTTTACGAGTAAATAATTAAAGTAACAGTGAAAAGTAGAATAGAATATTTATCTACTTCAGCTTACAGCTTGCTAAAAGGAACAGCGAATTATATAGGTAAAGGAACTATTTTACGAAATTTTTAATAGAGTAAAAAGTCATGGCACTGTTTATGTCTCTATAGGTAATATCACAAGAAAAAAGAAGAAAATAATTATAGGTGCAATAGTTTGTGAAGATCAAAGATAACAAGCCACTTGACAATTCAATTAAAGAAAAATTCTGGAGGCTTCCTCTGTTATATGATATACAAACAATTAGTGGAAAAAAAAGTTTCCTCCTATCGCGTAAAAAAGAAGAATGAAAAATGTTGCCCGCAAAGTGACTGCAGGATAGTCAAATAATATATTGCACTCCTTACTATAAGATGGAAGGACACAAGAGATAATAGAGATCTTTGGCTGTGAAAATGACGAGCAATTTGCTGATATTCATTCCGCAAGCGCTGCGCGCCGAGCGGTCCGGTTACGTGCTCGGTAAGGTGATACACGACCCTCGCAACGGCCTGAAAAAGTTCTACGTCATCAGCCTGCGTAGACTGGCCACGGTGGAGTCGACCAGGTCCACGTTGGACGTCATCGGGTATTACTCCAACGGGAACGACGCGATCGACGAGCCTGCGGCGGAACGTAAGCACGCGAACTGGGTGCACATCACGACGAGGCCTGGCACCGCGGATGGACGGGGGTACGACGAGTATCGCCTGGCGAATGTCGTCCTCAACAGCAGCAGGCTGTCGGATCTGTCGGCGACGCGCACGATGATCATTCTGTACGATCGGCGAGCGTTGCAGGAGACGGAGCTGTTCGAGAGCGGGGCAGCAGCGTCGGGCAGCGATCACTTTCACGAGCTCGCGAAGCTCGTGCAGAGCAAGAGGGACGAGCTGAGGATCAAGTCCAGACTCGTTCGCGCCTGGGAGACCCTGCTGACCTACCACATGTCCCTCCACTTGTACCTCGTCCTGCTGCTGTCCAAGGTGACGGAGAGATTGCTGCCGATCCTGAGGTACTCCTACCTCGGCTTGCACGTCCACGACTGGCTGGAGAACGTCAAGTGGATGCTGGTGACAGTCATACGGAACGGGAACTTCAAACTGAAAACGGGAAACTACGCCCTGGCGATGGCGATAGACATGGCACTGGGGATCTTCGTATTGCGATTACTGCGGTATTACATTGAGGATCAGCCCTCGCAGCTCCTTCTAAACAATGCGGAGGCAAGTGTTTAGATGTGCATGTCATGTACGTTAATAAAATTTACTTCTTTCTAGTAAAAATTTCGTTGGATACACTTTAAATTTCATTTAAATTCATTTAATTTCATTTTTGTATATTAAATTAACTCTGATTTAAATTGTACATTCAAAGTACCTAATGTATTTGATTTCAAAATTAAAATTAGCTTGAAATGAAGGAAATAAAACTCTTATCATTCATATTAAATAAAATTGAACATTACATAACTGTGATATACTTTTATTTCTGTCTATTTTTATTAGTTTTAATAACTGGAATTTCTATTCAACAGAAAGTCGTGGAGACTCTAAAGGACCTGATCAACTGGCTGATGGGCGTGCCAGCTGGCCTGAAGCTCAATCACGCCTTGAACAATACTATGGGCAAGTTCTTCCTGTATCACATACATCTCTGGTGGACATTTCTAATATTCTCGAGGCCGCTTCTGGATCTCGCGTTCGAGGTGCTGCTCCTGTTCGGACGGCTCGGCATCACGTTTCAGATATCCATCGTCGCGGACCTCCTGGCCCTCGTCAGCTTCCACACGTATTGCATCTACGTTTACGCGGCAAGGTGTAGTGTCTTCTCATGTCTCAGTTTAATTTATAAAAAAAATTATCGATTTCCTGTACGATTTTCTATATGAAATTCTGAAATAATTCAAAAGTCGTAATTCGTCACAGGCTCTTCAATATTCAGCTGAGAGGAATCACGGCGCTGTTTAGACTCTTCCTCGGCAAGAAGAAGAATCCCCTGCGCGAGAGAGTGGACTCTTGCCAGTATCAGACGGATCAGCTGTTCGTCGGGACGCTGTCGTTCACCATTCTTCTGTTCCTAATGCCCACCACGTGGGTATACTACACCGTATTTACCCTGGTAAGAATATCTGTTTCGGGACTTCAACCCTTTCAGAAAATAATCTACGTTTGCTACGTTGTAAAAATTTCGTCAAATGCACTTCAAATTTAATAAGTATGTTAAAGTAAATCTGTTTTATAAATGTAATCGTTCATTCAAAGTAATGCGATTGATTTTAAAATTAGTTTGAAATAAAAGAAAATAAAACTCTTAAGCATTCATATTATATAAAATTGGATATTATACAAAATTAAAATTAGTTTGAAATAAAGAAAATAAAACGCTTAATCATTCATATTGTATATAAAATTGGATATTACGTAACTGTGATACACTTTTAATTTTGTCTATTCTATTCTATTCTAACTGGCATTTCTATTCAACAGAAAGTCATGGAGACTTAGATATAATCGCGGCGTTATCCGTTTTATTGCAGCTCAGATTAGCGTCCATCGCGTTCGGCGGTTTTCTGACCAGGCTGAAGTTCTACCTGCAAGTCATGCCCGTTTACACTCTTTGGAAGTGGTTGCTGCGATCTTATAGCACTTGCAGTGAGTAGCGTAGCGGCGTACAATGCGTCTACTGATGAGACTTAAGACAGAAAATTCAATTTCCTCTTGGCAACATTTCGTACAAATCACATGTATCGCTATTCAATTTTTAATGCAAAATCTTGGGTTTAAAGCTCCCTTAAGAAGTCGCGTAAAAGTCGCTATTTTTTACAATATACTTGGGGCTAAATTTCAACAATGAAGACAAGATTTTTATTGAAGAGATTTAAGATTTTAAATCTTAAGCCTCATTGTAGACGCCGCTGAAAAACGTATTCCGTCCTCAGAAAGGGAACGTAGCGACTCTGCCGCCCGAAACAGCAAGCAGCGTTCAATTTATTGTGAATAATTTTTTCCCCGCAGGTATTGTCGATATCAGATTGCATCCCTGCTGCACGGAAGAGGTGACGGTACTGTCGATGACGATGGTCGTGGCCCCTTGGAGACGCACGTGGAAAAGGTGCATCCCGGACACGATCATTCGCCACCCGTCCATCGAGTGGTGCACGATATTAAATAACGTCATATGGGGCCATTTGTTGTATCCGTTATAAAGAACCATCTACATTGAACGTATCTTTTATTTACAGATAAAAGAATTTTTTTTCTTAACAAACCTCTCTCCTATAGTATTCCGTATATACATATATATACACAACCACACACACAGAATACACATTTAGATAAATCCCAGGAAACAAGCTGCGCTTTGGCGTCAAATAACGTTAGTTTGTGTTTCCCGAGATATCACTGTGAATTGAATTGAACGTCTACTGAATTCCTTGTGGAAAGCGCGTGGCGTGAGAAAAACAATTCGTTATATAACGGGGGGGGGGGGGGCGAGGAAACGATTTCGCAAAACGAGCCCAGAAATAGCATATCGGATAAACAAAACGCCCTATTCGGACCTGTGTGTCTTCATTTTGATCTGATGCTTCTTTTCTAAATCTTTCTGCATACTTTCCATCGACTCTTGTATCGTCGTCTGCAAGTCTTTGCCGAGTATCAAATCGACATCGTTTTCCTCCCTTAAGATGCAGAAGTAACCTAGGAAGACGGCCAGGGATACTATCACGCTCCATCCCTGATACCACGGAACGCTGTCGCCGTCTGGATCGCGATACTCCTCGATTCTCATCTTGGCGGCTTTCGACGTGGAAAACTTTATGGGCTCGTCATCGGCGTCGTCATCCTCAATTTTCGTCGACGATTTCGCGTACGGTCTACCTATGACGTCGTATCCGGTCGTCTGCGGTACGTATCTGCAAGAGGTGAATCCTGTTAATTACGAATCGTTAAATTAGCTGGCAATAAATTAAACTTCAATCCTCTTGGCAACATTTCATATGGCCGGTTTTAAACCACATGTTATTACATCGTGTTATTAAATTTTTAATGTAAAATTGGGTTCAGAGCTCCTTTAAACTTTATTTCTACCAATGTAGATTAACTTTAATTCTTGGTTTAACTTATTTTGTATCTTTTTCCAGTTCTAAAAATTAGAAAAAGATAAACAGTGAATTAAACCGAGATTAAAATTAATCTACATTGGTAGAAATAG